CATGTTGTTACTAAGCTTATTTAATTGAAATGTTTAAAATGTATGCAACATTGACAACAATTACTTATATTATGATTCCTAATCCTGTATGTATTTACAAAATAATAGATTCACTGAGTCACCATTATATAATGTTTAATGGAAAGTATTCTGATAGCTTGCAGTATCAACATTTTTGACTAGGAGTAGTGGTGACCTGGTGGAAACGCGCGTAACAGCTGTCGGGCAGATGTTAGCAGATGTTACAAAGTTAATTAGTTTAAAGGGTATTCGGAGGAAATTACGTAAGAGCAGGTGGTTTTGATCGTACGTCACTTGTGACGTATGTGGGTACTGTTTTAATTGTTTAATGAGTAAAACACAGTTTATACAATTAAATGATGGATTTAGTTAAATTCATAGTCAACAGTACTGTGTAGTATTCTAGTAAGGTCAGCGGGGCGCGGCGCGGTGTGGCATGGGTGACTCACTGGTCGCCGCGGAATTGGGTTAGTTGGACGGAGGAAAGTTTGGTCAGGGTCGCGGCCATGTCCGACCTTGTTACTCAACCTTCGCGGAGCTGTACCCAGATTTGGATAGTATCCACACAGTTCGCGTTTGGACATAGCGGCGGAGTGTTGTACGGTCCTGGGTCTATCGTTTTGCAGTGATGCCATCGTAATACTACACCTCGATTGACTCAACAACACAAGGTATTGTAAAAACCAATTTTAATTTATATCTTATGTTAGATAGTCGCAGGTTAGCTGTTTGTGGTTAAAAAATGTTTATACAGAAATATGTTCCTAATAGTAGATATATTTTCCCCCTGTTAGAAAATATTTGTTGGTCTTAAAAAAACACATCAGTAGTGTTGTATTAGGGGTACTGGAGACCGTGACGTAAAAAATAAAGTAAAATTAAACATCGTTTATATTTTGTTAAATAGTTTGACAGATTAGACTTTGTGGTTCAAATATGTTTATATAATGGAGTCTTTAGAAAGACTGATTTTTTTAAGTGAATTATACCCAATTCCATGTGTCCTGACTTGTGTGAATCAAATAAATTAGTTTGCCATCTTCAACGTCAGGAGGCTTTGGCACATTTAATCGTGTCGGAAAGCAAACCTCTAAAAACTTGTTGTCATAAAAGAAAATAAATGTTTTACCATTTTCATTTTGTCTTTGTTCTACTAATTGATAATGTTTGTTTTGTAACAGATATTTAAATGTTACTTTTTCTGTTTCTATTGGACTTACTAGTTGAGGAAGCTTCATTTCTTGACATATGGCTTCAGGTGATAATTGATTAGAATAATTTGATCCTGATGCATTCCAATGTAGTGGTAATTTAATTTGCTTCTGAAACTTTAGACGTAGTGACATTGACTTGCGAAAATTGCTAGTTTTAGTAGTAGTAGATTTCTTTAAATCTTCTTTTATTCTCTTTAGTTTATCTTGTGTGATTGTACTTGGCTTATCCATAGTTAACATCAGAACAGAGCTAGCATATGTGAACAGTCTCCGTTGAAGGTTCAACACTGAATGATGTGATGTTGGAGACTTCCTTACTTAGTAGGTAGAATTACCCGACAGTAGGGAAATTTACCCGCGAAGCAGGGTAAACCTCCCAACCGACCCCCTCCCAACTGGCTCGCGGATAAAAGTAGCGGCAGCGAACGGACTGTAGTCAGTCTCACCCAACTGGCACAGCTGACTGGTTGAGTGTAGACTGACTGACTTTTGATTAAAACCTTTCGTTAGATTTGGCCAATCTAACTTAATGTTTTAGTCAATAGCATGTGCTGCATGTTGTTTTTTTAGCTTGTATCTTAGATGGTTTTACTTTATGGAGTGCATCGTGTCTTTAGTACTTGAATTGCGCAGAGTGTTGTATTTTTCTAATCATGTGATATTTCGGCTAACAAAGGATAAAGAAGTCCCCCATTAAAATGAACAATCTTTTGTGACTGTAAATATTCTATATTTAAAATTTAAGTTGACCATATTGTAATTAGTTGAGAGGTCCAACGGCCTGCATACTATTCTGCATTTGGTTAAATTAAATTTTAAACTTTTCGTTGTCATTGGTAGTTTACTTATGTCAGCTAACAATGAACACTTTCTTGTGACTGTAAATATTCTATATTTTAAAATTTAAGTTGACCATTTTGTAATTAGTTGAGAGGTCCAACGGCCTGCATACTATTCTGCATTTGGTTAAATTAAATTTTAAACTTTTCGTTGTCATTGGTAGTTTACTTATGTCAGCTAACAATGAACACTTTCTTGTGACTGTAAATATTCTATATTTTAAAATTTAAGTTGACCATTTTGTAATTAGTTGAGAGGTCCAACGGCCTGCATACTATTCTGCATTTGGTTAAATTAAATTTTAAACCTTTGTTGTCATTGGTAGTTTACTTATGTCAGCTAACAATGGACACTTTCTTGTGACTGTAAATATTCTATATTTTAAAATTTAAGTTGACCATTTTGTAATTAGTTGAGAGGTCCAACGGCCTGCATACTATTCTGCATTTGGTTAAATTAAATTTTAAACTTTTCGTTGTCATTGGTAGTTTACTTATGTCAGCTAACAATGAACACTTTCTTGTGACTGTAAATATTCTATATTTTAAAATTTATGTTGACCATTTTGTAATTAGTTGAGAGGTCCAACGGCCTGCATACTATTCTGCATTTGGTTAAATTAAATTTTAAACTTTTCGTTGTCATTGGTAGTTTACTTATGTCAGCTAACAATGAAAACTTTCTTGTGACAGTAAATATTCTATATTTAAAATTTAAGTTGACCACTTTGTAATTAGTTGAGAGGTCCAACGGCCTGCATACTATTCTGCATTTGGTTAAATTAAATTTTAAACTTTTCGTTGTCATTGGTAGTTTACTTATGTCAGCTAACAATGAAAACTTTCTTGTGACAGTAAATATTCTATATTTAAAATTTAAGTTGACCACTTTGTAATTAGTTGAGAGGTCCAACGGCCTGTATACTATTCTGCATTTGGTTAAATTAAATTTTAAACTTTTCGTTGTCATTGGTAGTTAACTTATGTCAGCTAACAATGAACACTTTCTTGTGACTGTAAATATTCTATATTTTAAAATTTAAGTTGACCATTTTGTAATTAGTTGAGAGGTCCAATGGCCTGCATACTATTCTGCATTTGGTTAAATTAAATTTTAAGCTTTTGTTGTTATACCTAAACACAGACTCTTTCCTCACTACAACAGAAGGAGAGATAGAGCATGTTTGCTCCATCTCTTCTTTTGGTATTATTTTAAATGACCTTGACCTACTTACAGGACTTTGAAAATATCTTGGAAAAAATATAAAAACGGTAGTAATGGATCTTTGAATGAAGCCTTGTATATGTTTGAATCCGACCGGGCACATATTCTAGCTAGGGACCTACTATCGCTAGTTAATTTACATAAGCAGGTGCAGCGTTGTTCTACCCCCACCACTCAACCCGAGCGTATAAAAGGGCTGCGAGCAGACGGATGATTGTCAGTCTTGCACAACCGGTGAAGCTGACCGGATGGGCAAACTGGCTAAAGACGAGACCCTTAGTTTAGAGTTGGTACCACTCTAACCTAAGGTTCTTGTCACTTAGTAGTTATATTAGAAGCATGTTGATTGTAGTATTTGTTGGCTTGTAGTTAGAGGGTGTTTTGCGTATTTGTATCTTTGGTAAGGGTGTTGTATTTCTTAATTATGTGTTGTTCTATTTCAGGTATCAAAATAATAAAGTCCCTATTAGTAATTTTATTTTCAATTTGAGTTGATCATTGTATGTTACAAAGTTCTAAGTGACATTAGTAAGTTGAAAACGTTCACACAAAACAAAAACATGAAACCAATAGTAAATTCATGACATAGAGTTCTCTTTGACATACACACATTTTTATGGGGACAGTTCGTTGACTGCGCTGCTCCGGCTATTGCTAATGAGTCTTTGATCAATACCATGAGGACAGTCCTTTGGCTGCGCTGCCTCTGATCAAAAAGACTGATACATTGGTCTTTAGCCAATTCAGACTTACACACAAACATGAAAATAAAACAAACACTAAGTTCCCCCACTACAACAAAATGAGATAGATGACATTCACACATTTTTATGGGGACAGTTCGTTGACTGCGCTGCTCCGGCTATTGCTAATGAGTCTTTGATCAATACCATGAGGACAGTCCTTTGGCTGCGCTGCCTCTGATCAAAAAGACTGATACATTGGTCTTTAGCCAATTCAGACTTACACACAAACACGAAAATAAAACAAACACTAAGTTCCCCCACTACAACAAAAGGAGAGATGGAGCTTATTTTTGCTCCATCTCTCCTTTTGGCATTATTTTGAAATGACCTTGACCTACTTACAGGACTTAGAAAGCTTCCCTTAAAATACATAACAAACACTAAGTTCCCCTATTACAACAAAAGGAGAGATGGAGCCAATTTTTGCTCCATCTCTCCTTTTGGCAATATTTTTAAATGACCTTGACCTACTTACAGGACTTAGAAAGCTTCCTTACAGTACATTATTGGGAACCGAGAACAGTTCTTTTAAGTTAACACCAACGGACACAACATTTCCCCTCCAACCACAAGCTTCCCCCCTCCACCCACAAGCTTCCCCCCTCCACTTGAGTTTTGCTATAAAAGGAGGTTTGCTTCGCAGGCAATCATCATTCAATGGTCTGAAGTAGTCCTAGCTAGCTGAGTCAGCTCCAGTTACTATTCACTGTTTCATTTGCTATCATGGCTTACCTTAGAATTCCCACTAGACCCTCGAAAGTAGTTTCTTCATCTTCAAAGTCTCTTCCTCGATCTATTTTAATTTCATCACATGCGTCAGATCCAAAATCGGTTCTTCGAGAAATACTGCAGTCAGAAGGTGCAAGTCCTGGAGCAGAAGAACAATACACCTTCCGAGCCATTGGTGATCAATCTCCTCCACTGATTGAAATATTGTCTTCATCTTCATCTTCACAATCAAGTTCGTCTTGTTCATCTTCTTCGGAGTTAACCTCATCTGATTCGTCTACAAGCTCTTCCTCGTCCTCTGACTGCACTGTTGCTGATATTCTATCAACACCTACTGCTACTAGAACTGCATCTCCACCTCCAACTTCTACACCATGTATTTCTCCCTCGACAACTCCACCTTTACAATTCACTATTCCACCACCCATCATATCTCCTCTAAAAGACTCCCTACCAGCCACTTCCAAATCCTTTGACCACCTTCACACTTCTCCTTCAGATAAGTGTAAACAATTAATTGCTGACAGGAGAAGAAAATTTGCACACACCCTCTCTAAGTGTCGATATGTTTTTAAAAAGGGTGCTAGTAAGGGGGAACACTGTGAAAAGGTTTGTGTTTTGAATAGTGATATGTGCTCCATTCATTCAAAACACAATAAAACCACAGAGTCTTCCAATAAAATTAAAGAACTTCCCAAAGCAATCCGGGTAAGAAGGATGAAAAGGTGTACGAAATATTTCTTTGTCAGATGTGTATGGTTTAATAACATCATTATAAAACGTAACGATACAGGAGAGCATTTTTCAATTAGATTACCAAGAGATGTTGTAAACCCTGAACATCCGAAAAGAACTGACTACCTTATCCGGGATGCTAAAGGAAGATTGTCTTGGAAATCTTCAATTTCCAAGATCAAGAAGACACGGTAATTTTTTTTCTTTTAACATTTTACATTACCAAAGATAACACAGTAAATTCAATTTTTCCAAATTCTTAAAAAAAAAATGTGTGAGCAATTTGTTTAATTCTGATACATCATGTGTAAAAACATGCTGAAGAATTAAATGAATTGTTCACACATTTTTTTTATTATCTTGCAATGACCTTGACCCACTTCTTAAACTTAGAAATTTCTGCAAAATTTTAAAATAATGATAATATCAATTTCTACCACTACTAAAATTAAGGTGGTTTGTTTAATTCCACCCCCTTTACCCCCACCAGTACATAAAGGTATAAAAGACGCTTGATATTGCACATGATTCATTCTTAGATTGGAGCTAGCAGAGGCAAGTTTAACTATGAATTCCCCAGCTACAATAATAATTAAAAGAAACTTAAAAAACCTTCAAGAAGCATTTGCATTCAGGGGAAGTTTAGAAAAATATTTAAATCATAGTGTGACATGTCATTTTACTTTGTGGAAGGAAGAGAGAAACATCTGGAACTCAGAAGCAAACGGGTTGAAACTAGAATTAACTGATGTACGATTTAATAAAATAATTCGAAGGCTAGTGGAAATGTTAGAAAAAGGGTATATTGTGACTGCCACATTCTACATAAAACCAGACCGCAATAACTAAAAACAAAATGGAGTAAAGGTTAAGGGTGGGGGTAAAGGTAAATGGTGGGGGTTTGTCTATATAACATGTTTGCTGAGGTACAATCAGTTACTTCAGATTTACCACTCTTGTACATTATGTCTCCTGTGGACAATATTTTCCCGACAACTTCTTTTTTAAAAACCTTATTGGAAAACATTGTTTTTGAAGCTGGTTCAGAGGAAGAAGACATAGACTTGGAGGAAGAATCTTTATCCGAAGAAGAGTTGGAATCGGATGGTGACGAAAATTTGGAAGTATTGACTGATGAAGAGTTAGATGAAGAAGATAGAAGTTTTCTACTTGTTGAAGATTCATCATCTACTGAAGAGATGGTATGCTCGGAGAAACTTGTTGAGCTAAGGGAAACACCTACAACAAGTCATATAATGTTTAGTGCAATGTTTAGAAGTAGAAGACGATTGTTTGACTCTGACTCTGACTCCGATAGTGATTAATGTACAAAAAATAAAATGAGTGGGAAAAATGGGTGGGATGGGGGTTTGTTTTGCAAATCATAAATTTCCACAACAATAACAGTAAATTTTCTATTTCTAAATTTTTAATCTCTGAAATATTTAATTTATTTTAAATCCTGATAATCATAAAATCATAAAATACACAGTAAATCGGCTTTTTCAAAATTTTGAAAAAAATGTCTGAGCAATTTGTTTAATTCTGGTATATCATGTTTAAGAAAACATGTTGCTGGGTTAAATAAATTGTTCACACATTTTTTTATTATTTTACAATGACCTTGACCTACTTAAAGGATTTAAATAAATTCCATGGTTCAACAATAAGGAAAAATGTTACCCATTTCCCCTACTACTATAAAGTAAAGTGGGGAGTGGTCTACCCCCACCACTATATGGAGGTATAAAAGAGATTTGACATCCTGCATTAAACATTCTTATTTCTGGAACTCGCAAACGCAAGTTTAGTCAAGATGGATAAAAAAAAGATTAGACATAATGAAAGAGAAAGAAGGAGGGTGATGAAGCTAAATGAAACATTTGAGGTATTGAGAACCATACTCAAAGCTAAAAAAGGAACGTCTAAACTCCAAATTATAAATTTATCAATTGAAAGAATAAGGTTTTTAGAAAAGGAAGTTGAAGAAGCAAGAATGAGGACTGTGGGAGAAATGAAAGAAGCTAGTGCTATAATTGATAACCACGTTGAAAAATTAAAAGAAGATGATGATGAAAAAATGCTGTCGGACATGATACAATTAATGAATGGTGAAATGGAAGAGCGAATTCTGTCGGAAATGATGGATTTATTGGATAGTGAAATTGATGAAGAGTACTAACAAATAAAAAAATGGGACGTGGGTAGGTTGGGTTTGTCTTGGAAATCTTCAATTTCCAAGACTATAACACAGTAAATTGGGGCTTTTCCAAGTTTTGAACAGTAAATAACTTTTTTCCAAATTTTGAATAAAAAAATGTCTGACCAATTTATTTAGTTCTGGTATAACATGTGTAAAAACGTGTTTCAGAACTAAACGAATTGTTCACACATTTTTTTATTATCCTGCAATGACCTTGACCTACTAAACCAGAATAGTTAGTAAAAAATAAAATACCTTGTTTTTCTATAAATATGTTTGAAAGTTGAAGAATAGCCTGTATTTACGTTAGATTATAAAGCAATTGGGAAATGGGGTGATGTCATTAATTTAATAGTAGTAGTAGAGGGGAGAGAGGGGAGGGAATGGTATAAATAGGGGTGGATGTTCACACCTTTCATCAGTATGTTGCTGCTTCTTGAATAGAGAACATCTACAACATGCTACGCTGCGCCATTTGTCAAGCCGAATTCGAGGATGAAATAGATCTTGTACTACATGAAATAGTCGATCATCCTACAAATGCAGAGGAATTGGAAGGATATCAAGACTTGATTCAAGAATTGTATAAAATAGGACAAAAAGAAGAAGAAGAACCCAAACCATCTACTTCAAGAGATCGAGGAGAAGAAGAACCAAAACCATCTACTTCCATGCTACGCTGCGCCATTTGTCAAGCCACATTCGAGGATGAAATAGATCTTCTACTTCATGAAATAGTCGATCATCCTACAAATGAAGAGGAATTGGAAGGATATCAAGACTTGATTGAAGAATTAAATCAAATAGGACAAGGAGAAGAGGAAGAACCCAAACCATCAACTTCAAGACCAAGTGTTATTCATTATGCACCCAAACGCCCAACTTCACCTTCAACTGATGCATCTCCAACAAACGTGGAACTACACGCTCATGCTCTACCGGGTAAAGTGGTAACACATTTTAAAATTGACAATGCTACATTAAAACTGGAAGAATTTATGTTTAGTGCAAAAGGACTAGTAATTGAAACGCTACAAAATGAATTACAAAGATTAAATTTTATAAAGTTTGGACTATTGCTGGACACTATGTTTACCAACATGCAAAATGAAACATCGCCTAGAGGGTTTTTAACAAAAAACAGAACTATCATGTTTGGCTCAGATATTGAATTAATTGTAGATGAATGTTTTGAAGAACTTTTGACAAAATTGCAAGAACATGAAGGCAGGGGATCAGGATGGACTGTATTGAGCATATCAGGTTTGGATATAAGAGTGCATAAACATGGATATGGAATGAGAGGAAGTAGCTATATTCCTCTACCCAAGAAAATTGCTAATACTCTATCTTGCATAAATGTACAAAATGATGATACAGAATGTTTTAAATATTCAATGTTAGTAAAACATATCAAAAACAATCACCCGGAAAAGGTAGGAAGAGAATATAAAGAAGTGCAGCACAATTATAATTTTCAAGGAATGAGCTACCCTGTAAAAATCAAAGACATCACCAAGTTTGAAAAACAGAACCCAACTGCTTCTGTAAATATATATGGTTTAGATTCATCAAACAATGTATATCCTCTACGTATAAGTGCACACGAACTAAATAATCACACTGACTTGTTATTAATTACGAAAGGTGAAATATCGCACTATGTATATATTAAGAACTTTAACAAACTCGTTACTTCCCAGATTTCAAAGCATGGGGGATGTAAAACAATTTGTAAAAGATGTTTCTGTCATGTGAACAAATCTATGAGAAATGGAGGGTCTGAATGGTTGTTAGAACATAAAAGGTTATGCAATGGAAATGAAGAAGTTAAGATTAACCTACCACCAGCTGATAGAGCATTTGTACAGTTTAATAATGTAGTTCATCAATATAGAATTCCTATTGTCGTGTATGCTGATTTTGAATCTACTCTACTACCATTAGAACATCAAGAGGAGGACACATCAAGAAGAAACAAGTACCAACTACATTCACCCAACAGTTTTTGTCTACTCATCAAGTCAACACTTTCCAAAGAATATTTACAAGATTATGGACTGACAGCTGAACCAAAAGTGTATCGTGGTGAAGATGCAGCTAAACACTTTGTCGACGAGCTGTACAATATAGCTGAAAAAGTAGAGGCAATTTATACACAGGTAAAACCTATGACACCTATGTCACCCGATGAAGTTCAAGAATACGATTTATCAACATCATGTTATTTGTGCAAGAAAACATTTACAGAAGATAATCATAAAGTGCATGACCACGACCATCTGACTGGAAGCTACAGAGGTGCTGCGTGTAACGCTTGCAACTTAAACTATAAAATTCCTAACTATATTCCAATTGTAATGCACAACTTAAGCGGCTATGATGGACATTTTATAATACCTGAATTAGGAAGGGACAATGGTAAAATTGATGTATTAGCCGTAACGATGGAAAGGTTTATTAGTTTTTCAAAAAAGGTTGGTAAAATGAAACTCAGATTTCTTGACTCCTACAGATTTATGCCTTCTAGTCTTATGAAACTATCAGAAAATTTGACAAGAGAAAATTTAATAGAAACAAGTAAAATAGTAGACAACAACAAATTGGATTTAGTTCTTCGAAAAGGAGTCTTCCCTATGATTACATCGATGGATTGCACAGATTTGACGAGACATCACTTCCTCCACCAGAAGCCTTTACCAACAAGCTGAACAATTCAGAAATATCACCAGAAGATTACCAACATGCATGCAGAGTTTGGAACGAACTTGATATGGAAACATTAGGGGATTATTCAGATTTTTATGTTAAACTCGATGTAACTCTGCTTGGTGATGTGATGGAAGAATTCAGAAACACCTGTTTGGGAGCATACGGATTAGACCCTCTTCATTCTTACACCTCTCCAGGATTAGCTTGGCAGGCGATGTTAAAAGAAACCAATTGCAAACTTCAACTTTTAACAGATATTGATATGGTGCTGATGGTTGAGTCCGGTGTCAGAGGAGGATTGACTCAAAGCGTTGTAAGACATGTTAAAGCCAACAATAAAGATCTGCCAAACTACAACCAGCAAGAGCCATCAGTTTATCTTGGGTATTTTGATGCAAACAATTTGTATGGATGGGCAATGTCCAACCCCCTTCCATACGATAACTTTAAATGGATCGACCCAGAGTCAATTGGAGATATAGTTCAAATTCCAAAACATGGTGACACAGGATATATATTAGACTGCGATTTCGAATACCCAGAACATCTACACGACCTTCACTACGATCTTCCTCTTTTACCAAAAACAGAAATTTCACCAACTGGAAAACATCCTAAATTAATGATGAATTTAAATAACAAGCAAAGATATGTAGCGCACTTTTGGACTGTACAACAAGCACTTGAATTAGGACTTCGTCTAACCAAAGTACACAGAGTTTTGGAATTTTCTCAATCTTGCTGGCTGAAACCCTACATCGATTCCAACACTACAAGAAGAGCAGCAGCAACGACAGCCTTCCAGAAGGACTTTTTTAAATTAATGAACAATGCGATATTCGGTAAAACTCTGGAAAATAAAAGGAAACACAAAAATGTAAAACTTGTAACAGATGCTAGGAAATTGGAGAAACTTGTACAGACACCTAACTTTGGATCATCAGTAATCATTAATGAAAACCTTGTTGCCGTATCAATGAAGAAAACCAGTATAAAAATGGATCGACCTTTGTATATAGGAATGTCAATATTAGATATATCGAAAACGCACATGTATGATTTTCACTACAACAAGATGGTTGCACATTATGGAAGAGAGAACATAGTTATAACTTACATGGATACAGATGCATTTATTTACAAGATAATTACTCAAGATATGTATAAAGATCTTCGCACATTTGTATATAAAGATGAATTTGATTTTTCTGACTATCCTAAAGATCATCCGAACTACGATCAAGACAGAAACAAGAAAGTATTAGGGAAATTTAAAGATGAGGCTAACGGAGTGTTACTTGAAGAAATCGTAGCACTTATATCA